GTCTACATAGTGAGTTCCAGGACAGCTGGGGCTACAGAGAGACCCTGTCTCAAAAAGACAAAAAAAAAAATTTATGTGTACGAGTGTATTGCCTGCATGTAGGTAAGTGCACCCATGTCATACAATGTCTGCAGAGGACAGAAGAGGCTGTTGGATCCCCTGGAATTGGAGTTACCAACAGTTGTTAGCTACCATGTGGGTGCTGGGATTTGAACCTGGGTCTTCTGCAAGAACAGCCAGTGTTCTTAACCACTAAGCCATCTCTCCAGCCCTCCCTAAATTTTATTTTATGTGAATGAGTGTATTGCCTACATGTGTGTAAGTGCATCTGTGTCATGCAATGCCCATGGAAGTCAGAAGGGGGTGTTGGACTCCTCTAGTGCTGGAGTTACAGATGGTTATTAGCCACCGTGTGGGTGCTGGGACTCAAACCTCTGCAAGAACAGCCAGTGCCCTTAACCACCACTGAGCCATCTCTCCAGCCCCCATATCAACGTTTTAAATAACCTACTGATTCTGATTTGTGCTGCCCATATACTCCTGGGTACATGGGTCCTGGAATGACTGTCCCCTGGAATGTGGCTGACCTACCAGGAACTACATCCGTAAAGAAAACTGACTCTTCCTCCCCGAGTAGCCCTCAACTGCCAGTAGCTCCTCAGCTAGGGCTGGGGGCTCCCAACCCCTTCCCTTCCACACGAGAATCTTGATCTTGTGCAGGTAGCCACAGCTGCTGGGAGTTCATAAGTGTAGAGGTCTTGATATGTCCAGAAAACACTGTTTTGCCCAGGTCTTCCCTGACCTTTGTTCTTAGACCCTCTCTGACTCTCTTCCAAGGTGGTCCCTGAACTTTGAGGGAGTAATACAGATGTCCCATGTGTGGCTGACACTTCCTGCACTTGGATCCATTGCGAGTTTCTGCGTCACTACTTGAACCCCGAGGGTAGAAGTGCTTGGGAAAAGTCTAGAAAATGGAGGCTGCAGAGTCCCAAGTTATTTCTTGTCTATTTTCAGATATGCACACAAAGCGTGAGACAGATGAAAACTGTTGTGAGGGGCTCGACAGAACCGCTAGACAGTGAGGCCATGTTATAGGAACAGTTCTGGGTCCCCTCGACGCTCCCCTAGCCTGCTATGACACATGTGTCCCTAGCAGTGCTGTTGGGCACCGGACTGAGACACAACAGGCCAGTGCGGATAAATTCTAAGACCCTGGAGACAACACTGAGTTACTATCCAGAGAGGTGTGGCTTGGTGCAAGTTGCCAGGCCAGGAAGAACATGTGCATCTTAAGGTTGTGGAGTTGGGGCGGTAGCTTGGTGGTAGGTAGAATAGTATGTGTTTACTATGCTCAAGGCCCTGGTTCAGCCAGGGGCACACGCACCCCAGGCAGTAGTTCGTGCAGACCGTGGAGGAATGGTTTCTCTTGTCAAGCATGGAATACAGATTCATGGAGCCACATGGTTTGGCAACTGTAGTTTTCAGGGTCACAGGGGGGCAAGTCTTAGAAGTGAGCATGGCCCCTGCCTTCACATAGGGTGTGGTCTTTTCTTCCCATTGGAATTAGAACTTGCTAGAATGTGTTATTTCCTCAGGCTGCCTCAAAGCCCACTGTAACTAGCATCTTATATATATTAGGGAGATGAAGGAACTGGAATTAGGATCAGGTGTGACTGTGGTTATGCCTGGGCTTTAAAGCTACAATGACCGACTATTATGTAAAAGCAGCTCACCAGAGGTGGTGGTGGGCTCTTTACTCCTTTGTCATCATTAGTGACCATCAAGCTCCATATGCCCCATCACATCTACATCCCCCCAGGAAGAGAAAGGATGAAGGCATGACAATGGTCTCTCCAGGTATCCTGACAGCCAGCTGCTGCTCCACACTTCCGCAATCTCACTGACTACCCGCCTGTAGCCAGGCCCGGCTGCCGGGAGCCTAGAAATGTAATTTGTATTCAAGGCAGTTGTGTGCTCTGCAGAAATCAGTGGGTAGGCATCACTAAAAGGGAGTGTTGATACCAAGGGGCAGCTCATAGTCTCTCCATTCACAAATCATTTAAAGTATCAGCTAAAAGCTTATAATTGGGCAAGCCGGGCGTGGTGGCGCATGCCTGTAGTCACAGCACTCGGGAGGCAGAGGCAGGTGGATCTCTGTGAGTTCAAGGCCAGCCTGATCTACATAGTGAGTTCTAGGACAGCTGGGGCTACAGGGAGATCCTGTCTCAAAAAGCCCCCCTCCCCCCCAAAAAAATTATAGTTGGGCAAGAAACGTATGCTTTCTAATTTACATTTTGTGTGTGTGTGTGTGAGGGTGTGAGGGTGTGCAAGTGTCACAGTGCTTGCCATTGAGGTCAGAGGACAACCTATGGTTCTCTTCTTCCACCATGTGGGCTCCAGGGATTGAACTCAAGTTGTCAGTCTTGGCAGCAAGCACCCCTACCCCCTGAGCCATCTTGCTGGTCTGGAATGTGGGCTTTCATAGTTGACACCAGCACAGCAGAGTAGAGACTGTACTGTTGTGGGAAACAGCCTGTGTTTGGGTTTTGGTTTGTGATACTGGGGCCTTACTCATGTTAAGCAAACACGGTACCACAGAGCCACAGTCCAGCTCGTTTTTCACTTTATGTTTTGAGACAGGGTCTCGTTAAGTTGCCCAGGCAGGCCTTGTGACTGCCATGCCCAGCCATTTAATTATTTTCTAAATCAATGAGTTCATGCAAGTACTCTGGGTGAAACTGTTCTTACTGAATCTTCTAAAAGTGGGAGCACACTGGAGAGGTGAGTCGAGTCTTTCTAATGTGGACAATACGGGGAGTTCACTGAGGAAGCAAATGACAAAATGGGGTACTGAAGCCTGACTTGTAAGCATCCTAGTTTTCTGCATTAGTGGATCATACAGGCTAGACAGGAATTATCCTTGAACAACACTGGGTCCTTTAGCTGTCAACTCAGGAAGGGTCCTGTGGGCCCTGGAAACCACTCTTCCAGGTGTGTAGGTAGTGGTCATACTTAAAAGAAGTAGCTGACCTCCAGGGCATGACTGGACCAAAGGACACCACCACCCTGAAGGCCAGAAGCCTTGAGCTCTTCAGCACAGTGAGCAAGTCTAGCATACAAACATTTCCCGTCTCTACTGGATTCATCACCTTGAGGGGGGGATGAGATGACACCAAAATGAGGGGTGGGCTCGCAGTCATATTGAAAAACGAGCCCCAAGCAACCCAGACAACTGAGAGTACAAGTTATTTAATAGGATCAAGGAGGGAGTTGGTAGCTTCCCTGACCGCCTCAAAGTCACTTCACAGAAAATGATCAGAGGCACTTGACTGTCAAGGTCTCTTGATGGTTACTCAAGAGGATGAGGCAGGAGGATTCCAAGTTCAAGGCCTACTTGGGCAACTTATTGAGACTTCAAAATGTAAAGTGAAAAAGATGTGGGGTGTGGCTGAGTGGGACGGCACTTGTCTAACATAGGTGAGCGTTAAGTTGCTCTGGATGGTCAAGATCCCCTCCTAGAGATAAGGAAGGATGTGGCCGCCTGTTCAGCTGAACCGATGAGAGTCCGGTGCTCATTTTTAGTTGATCGAGGTGGACTGCTTTCATGCCAAGGGGAAACCATTTGCTATAAGGAAATCCTTCAAAGGTATAAACAAAGACGTTTTTTGTAATTGTATTTTCATGTTTTAACAGTTAAGATCAAGGTTTATATCATTTAAAACAGTCTGATTTTCTAGTGAGAATGGCTCTACAGGACACCTCTAGGTAGAACTCACTGGACACTTGGTTTACAATCTTGTCTTACCCAAGGTGGCAAGAGGCTTACCCCAAGATAAGTTGTCAGAATGCTTTAGGGGTAGCGTTGCCCTGCAGTCAGTCACTCAAGTGTCTCAATGAAAAGCGATGTCTACACACAAGTCCGACCTCCGTGCTTATGAGCTAAACTGCCAAGTGCTTTAGGACTCCTCTTTAGGGAAGAGATGCTTTGCCACTGGGTGACTGTCTACATTGGCATTTGTTTTCAGATGAATTCCTGATTTTACATCCAAGTCTGGAATATGGACGTCTAGCCAGGGTATCTGGGAACCTCTGTTATTACCCAGTAATCCCCGAGCTTGCCCTGGGCACAGTGACAGGAAGTCACTGTTGCCAAGAGATTCTGGCTCTTAGTCCTGTAGTATGAATGACTTGCTACTCTTGCAAAGTACTGAGTTTCAAAACTTGAGGTGCCCTGGGCATGGTGCTGTGCACCTGTTACCCAGCACACTGGAGACTGAGGCAAGAGAACCGAAGATTCAAGGCTAGCCTGGACAAAGCAGTCAAACCCTGTTTCATTAAACAAAGTTAACATGATCAAATTCAAACTTAAAAACCTCAGTACCTAAAATCTTCTGTTTCTACACTAAAAGCCTTTAGGAACATTCCTTAAAACCTCAAAAGGTAGATTACTAAGTAGAGTTGGGGGCTGAAGATAGAGTGCAGGGCAGGGGCTCAGAGGGGAAGGCAAGCATCAGAGGGGCTAGCAGAACTCAGCAGAGGCCCCTGAAAAGATTCCCTGTCTGTCTGTCCCTCTCTTCCACCGTCCCTCTGCCTTTTATCCTTAGGCCTGCTCTGCCGGAAAAGAAGGTGGCTGACCTCAGCACGCTGAACGAAGTGGGCTATCAGATCCGAATCTAGCCAAGCCATAGGGCCAGCAAGACTTCTGTGGTGCTCTCCCCTGCGCTTTACCCAACGTCTTCAGGAGGGACTTCAACTATTTATTAAGGACTCTGGATTTTATTTTTAAGGACTCACCTGGAAACAGAATCTGAGTGGGTGGAACTGAGCTTTGAAGACTCCCTAGGAAGCAGCCATGAGCAGGCTACCAAGTTAACCCCCCTGAGAGACACTCCCCCACTCCCCGCCCCCTGAGCTTGGCCATACCCACTCAGCAGCTCAAGGATGGCCACAATGACTGTAGTTTCCGGTTTCCATTTACCGACTTGTTTGACATGCTTGGACATTATGCCTCACCTACAGTAAACATTCATGAAATTCTCTCTACCACTTTTTGGTATAGTAAGGTAACTCTATCAGTATTACAGTCTTTTTCAGCAATAACAGAAGCAAAGATGGGTGAGTTTTTTAAGCAGTTGATATTACCTCAGCATTTTGGCATCAGATATGCAATCTTGATGATTTTTTAAATATTCTATTTGTATTGTTTTCCTAATATTTCCTGTAGGGATCTTGACAGCTTAGTTGTTGTTTGGTTGTTTTTTTTCTGGTGTACTTGGGATGAAATATAAGGTGTTATATGCAAGTGCGTTTCTAAAAAGCACTGAAATTCTTTTGGCAATACAGGAAACCATTTTCGGGATCTTGGAGTCACTTAAACATTCACTGACAGCAGTTTTTGTTCTTTCAAACCAAAGCATACTGAGAAGCCAGCCCTTGTTCTGTCACTGACATTTAAACTTTGAGTCCAGCAAAAAGCACCAGAGGCCATGCACATGTCATACAGATTCTTTCCGTTCTGTCTACTTGCAGACTCTGAGCCAGGCTTTGGTTCTGAAGGGCTCCCTGCTGTTAGGCTGTGTTGCTGTCTCATATTAAGGCCAAGTGTGCTGATGGGATTGCTTTCCAGGAGCTTGCTTGTAGGTGCCACTTCATGGCACTCAGACATACTGGGGACACAATTGATGATAGAAACAGGTCTCTTTCCCAACGGGTCTTCCAGTCTGGAGTTAGCAGAGTGTGACTCGGTCTCTCAAGCGGAGCTGGCCCGCCTCTGGGAGCTACAGTAACTTCTGGTTGCAGACCGCCTTGAGGAAGTTGAAGGCATCCTCTCTTAGAAATCCAGAGTTCAGCTCCATGTCCTTTGTCTTATCTGGGGAGCCATGCCATCTCATGAGACCAAGGGTAAGTTCAAGTGGGTGAGTCCTGGAAGGAGTTTCCAGGTCCAGCGCTTCTCCTCCGGCTCTGACAGAAGGTGGTTCTAAGAAGGTGGTAGATAAAAGGAACAGTTTGCCCTCTAAGAGTCTTTCCCAACAACACCTCTGGGGTGACAAGGAATGCAAAAGGACCCCATCCCGAGCCGGTATGCACAGACCTCGCTCCACTCTAAGAGCCAGCATCATTCACGAAAGGCATTGTTTTCTAGGAAAAAGAAGCTCAGTGCCTTTAGAAGTCAGAACAAGGTAAACTGAAGTGCAGTAAGTTTGAAAATTCCGAACTTAATTGCCTTCTTCAAGAATCCTATCATCAGTGTTCAGAGTGAGTTACCAGGACGGGGCATGTAGCTCAGCCATGCTATCTAGCCACTCGACTGCTTATCCATCTGAACTTGAACCTGCAGTAAAGAGACTAGTCAGGACACGGCCACCACCTAAGCACTTGGAACGGCATTTGCCAAAGGTGAGCTCACACAAGCAGGTCAGAGGCACAGCCTTATCTCTTAAGGACCAGGGAAGGAACAGCCAAGCTGTCCCTCACACCGCCATGCCAGCTGGTAAGGTCATTTCTTGCACTCTCTGGGTTTTAGATCCATTTCTTCAAAGCAAGGTTAGTCATGGGAGCATTTAGTATGTTCCTGACTGTCATCCCATCTTACTGCCCATAGGTTATATTGACTTCGAAAAATACAGGCGAGTCACCGAACACCTAAATTCTAATGCAGTCGTTTAGTTAAAATCTTATGAGGCTGCAGGGATGGCTTGGCAGTTAACGGCACTTGTTGCTCTTCCAGAGGACTGAGCTCAGTTCCCAGCACCCACAGCCACCTGTAACTCCAGTTCCCAGGGAGGACTCCCTCTTCTGGCCTCCTCAGGGCATCTCACACACGTGGCATTCACTCACACAGACACATGAATAAAAATAAACCTGGAAGGTAACAAGACTAAAACTAACTCATTTTACCTCTCTAAAGTGATTTTTAGACTAGCTGTAACTCAAACGATAAACTGAAATGATCTGGAATATAATTTTTAAAGTGTTAAGAGAAAATTTATTCTTAAGCTACCTGGCAAAATCTGCAAAGTTTAAGTGACAGAGATCTTGAGACTATCTGCTGTGCTGTTTTGAGCATTTATTTGGAAAGGGGACAGTCTTTTCTAGACACTGAAATCCTGAGCTCGGCGACTTTTCTAAGTCGGCACTTTCATAAGGATTTCATCAGTAGACACTGGCAACTTCGACTTTGAACTCCAGTGTTCTTACTACACCCAAGGCTTTCATAAGCTACACTTTTATGTATAACCTTGTACAGTTTTTTTGACATATAATTCAGAATCTTGTTTATTCTCTTAGACTTTGTTCTGGTCAATACTTTTTTTAAATCTTTCAGAAAACTGTGACTGTTTTAGTGGGTATTTTTCTAAGTAAACAAAAACTTGTATACTAGTATTTTAGAGGACGCCAGATAAGTGCATGTTTCCGGTTAATGCTTCCTCAGTACGTGTGTTTGTACACAGCATGGAACTTTAATAAAACCATTCTGGAAATTTAACGACTATAAGATGTTTATGTTCTTTTGCTGGTGTTTTGTTCTCTGAATACATTTGTTCAGTGAACAAATCTGTCATTTCTTCACCTTTCCTCTTACAGAATTTTCATACTTTATATTAAATATTGCTTTATGTTAGAATATCTTGGACTGTGCTTGGTGGCACATGCCTTTAATCCCAGCACTCAGGAGGCAGAGGCAGGTGGATCTCTGTGAGTTCGAGGCCAGCCTGGGTTCCAAAGGGGTTTCCAGGGCAGCTGGGGCTAAAGGGGGGCCCTGTCTCAAAAAAACCAAAAAAAAAAAAAAAAAAAAAAAGAATATCTTAATATAACTTTTCTCTTAGCTTATCCTAACTAATAAAGGCTGAAAAGGTTGGGAAATAGTTTGACAGAGGCAGCAAGGCCAGCTTACACAGCCCAGCACACCTACAACAAAACCTAGGCACACATGTGCCCGTGTAATAACATCACACAGAATACAGCTTCAAAGTACAAACGACTCCAGGGCCTTACAAAGTGTATCTTTTTGAGTCAGGGTCTCCCTGTAGCCCCAGCTTGAACTCAGTATAAGCCCTGTAAGACATAAAATTGAATGAGTTTTTAACCTTTAAAAAAGATCTCCATTTCATTTTAGAATATATTGTTCCTTGCAGAAAGACTCATTGTTTTTGCTACTAACACTGAGATGTTGGCGCATGTATCTCTAATCTGTATGTATCTGATTATTACTAGTCATAATCGGTTACACTTAGATCCTTGGCGCCTGTGTATGTCTATGAAGTCATCAGGTAGATTTCAATGGTAATGTTTATCACCTCTACTAATTAGCATGACATAAATTTCCATGCTTCCTCCTCAAATATAATACATTTAAAAAAATTTGTTGATTTTGTGTGTGTGCATATCACACAGAACATCCCAAACCATGTTATTCCACTATACACCCACTTCCCAGGTAGCACCCTCCGATAGCCTCCTTCCCCCCACTAGAGCCCTTATACTCTGATATCCCTGCTACTGTCTGCTGTGTTGTCAGCACCCCCAGCCATTCCCCACTACTTGCC